AAATTATTTATTTTCTTACCTAGAAATTCCCATACCACAAAAAATGAGTACTTTGCCACCAATTTGCTTTTGGTCATTAATTTTCTGAAAAACGCAATGCCAATATGGACTTAAGTCTGTTTCTTCGTCGTCTTCAATTGGAATATGAAGCACCGTAAAATGTGATGGTACGATTTGTTGTAAACCAGCAACACAATTAATTATGCATGTGAATCTGAATATTTTAACATTCTTTGATTGATCTAAATTTGGTAATAAATTTTCTTTCAAAATTATTGTAATAGCTTTTTAAAATACTAATTTTATATGCATATAATTAATATCTTTGCATAGCTTCGAAAAATCCAAGCGAATATATGTATAAAATATCTGTGCATAACTTCAAGAAACTGTACTACTTATAAAATTGAATGAATAGATTAGATGAATGTTTGAAAAATAATATTACAAGCAAATTTCACAAAAAAAAAAAATACTGATGCAAGTAACCTTTTATACAAGAAGAAAAAAAGGAAATATAATTGCTAGAATAATTTTGTACAAAAAAAAATCATTACGGTTTCAAAGATGCTGGAGTGAGTGGTGCTAATCCACTGAGATACAGAAAAGGTCGAATTTGTGAAATACTTGAAGCATCTCCAGCAATTACCTTTGAACTGGTCATCAGTTTGATACTTGGATTTACTCGAAGAAATGAATCACTTCTTAGCTAAAATTATGCAATAATAAGTAAAATAAGCAAAAAATTTTTAACAGCTAAAAACAAACAAATATGGGCTTAGTTTAATACTATATAAGAGCAATTTTTTTTTCATATTTCATGAATAAATTGAAGAAATTTTTATGCAAAGTAATGTAATCGTTATGAAGCAAGCAAAAAGGCCAATTGCTGGCAATATAATCACACCAAATTGTGAATTTGTTGAATTTTAGCCTCAATTTGGCCTCTTTTACCTTTTAAGCAGCCAATAATTACTAGAAAATAAGCCAGCAAAATAGCATTTCAAGTTAAATAATAATACACAGCTAGTGCTGCTGCTGCTACTACTACTATTTCTCTACTTCATTTATTTGCCAAGTAATGCATTTTCCATCCAAAGTACTGTTGTTTTTGGTTATTGCATTGATAAGTATTGTAAATAGCCTGAAATGTTATTCATGCTCATATTCACTGATTGAAATTACACCTGAAACTGACGATTATTTTTGCGCTAATGAATCCTTAATTAATATTAATCGTGATATGACTGCACGTACTTGTGCAGCCTGGGAAAAGTTTTGTACAGTTAAGTTAAAAAATTTTTATTATTTTTAAAAATTTGCATAAATTTGTTTTCAAAAGTATTATTTTTATAGCAATTACTTTAGTTTGCAAAGTTTTACTTTTATAACTAGTATTTCCATCCTCAAAGCATCTGGAATACAAATAACCAATTACGCATTATACAAGTGTTTTTTAAGTCTACTAAGTAAATACAGTCAGTAGATCACCTTCACAATAATGTTATACTCTATGATAAAACGATGTAGTAAAAAGAAAGTTTGTAGACAACGGTAGAAACATCGTTAAAAGCCTTCAGTGCAGTACAACGATCATGCGGTGATACCTGTAGAGATCATTGTGAATCCGATGGTTACGGTACAGATATTGTAAGATGTGATGATTGTTGCAATGAAGATCTTTGCAATGGTAATTATTCCGTTCATTACTATATGAAATTGATGAAGGAACAGTATACATCTTGGTTTGAACCATTACCTGGTGAAAAAAGATATAATCGCTTAAATAATATTACGTTTCCTTATTAAGTAATTGCCTAAATAATACTACATTTATGTATTAAACTGCTGTTGGAAATAAAATTTGCTAATTAATTAATTAATGAAATTATTCAAATTATCGTTTATACAGTACAATTTAAACTGACGATCTGAATGGATCACGAGAAAAATTGACCAGAAATTGATTGATCTGACCAGACTACATGCCCAAAAACTAATAACTTTGTGAATCTTTTATTTCATTAAAATTACTATTTTATTGCAAAATTTGTCATTGTCAAAGTTGCAATATCATGTCATTAAGCACTCTTATTACTAATTAATATGCAATGTTAAGGAAATTATTATTGTCAACACTTTAGAAGCATATAGTCAATACTTCAGAAAGCGCAAATTGTGATGCATATTGTAATTAAAAGTTTACTAAATGAGAGACAGTATGGAAAAGAGAGAATTAATATTACTTCAAAAGGCAAAGTTTCAGAAATTCAGTTGTTTGCGCATAATGAAAAATATGAATCCTCGCAGACTGATGCTCAGAAATAAAAATATTAATTATCAGTAAACAACGCATTAACTGCGCATTTCTTTGGATGTAAACATAGTTTGGCCCAATTTGATCACAATTACTTTTTATTACTTTCTTCAAGAATAAAACATAAAATGGTAAGCTGGATATGTTTCAAGCCATACCTGAAGTAGATCTTGCTTTCATTGGAATGCTAATTTTAGCAGAAAATAGAGGAATAATCTACTTAATCTTCCTTGCAAGTTACAATATGCATCACAATTTGCGCTTTCTGAAGTATTGACTGTAATCATGTAGCTTCAATTCGAGATTATAAGGTAATAGCAACAACTTGTACAAGACACTAAAACCCTTTAAGCACTAATTAATTTTATTTATTTTTGTTCAGTTAACTGAAAAAACTTGAAATAACTGATTGAAATAACTTTCATGAAAAGTTAACTATACTAAGCACTTTAATAACGTTTTATCTTATTTCAAACTGATATTCAATTTGTAAAATGTAACAGATTTAGCATATTTTAAAATTCAAATTATCCTTTGCATACTGACTCTTCAATGAAAGCTTTATCACGATTTCAGCGGAAGAAAATGAAATAAGTTAAAATTATGCGCAGAGATGAAATCAAGAGCTTAAGAAAACAAACAGGCTATAAAGTTGGGAGAACATATTAATATTTTTATTCCTAAAAGTGCCAACAGCTGCTTATGAAGCATACTTGCAAGCATTGCAATAAATGCTTTCATACATAACATTACTAACAAATCAATCTATCATTGTATAAATTCAAAAAATTCCCAATGGAATGAAACCATATACATATTAGCATTACTGCTTACGTGGTTGAGCAAACTTGCTCTACTCTCTTAATTTTTACATTTCCAACCATTTAATAAGCCTTTGAAATCCTCAATTAAAGTCTTATTACAGCACATATTTGCGTCGTCAACCTTTAATGGTACCAGCTGTAACGGGTCTGTTTGCTTTGTCTTACACTGAAGCAAACCGCTTGTTTTATCATCTATGGAAAATAAATGTGACTAATGTAGTAGTACCGATGAGATGAGAAGAGTTTAACCATTTATTGCTTAAAAATACGTAAGTAACACAAAAATAGCATTGAATAACAGACATTACTCAGGGACAAATTTTTTCATACAACCAAACAGCACTAAACCCACTGTCAATGGTACTAAGCAGAAGCCACTGAGTGTTAGCATGAGGAGGCAGTGGAAAACGGCATGCTATTAAATACGAACCCATCTTCATTTCCTTCACTTTCCTCGACAAATCATCCATCTGCAAATTCCTCATCTTTTTACCTTTCTTTCATAGAGCGGTGTAAAGCTGAGCATTTAACAAATTCCAATCCTCATACTCTTTCTCATAAAACTGCGCAATAACATTTTACAAACTTTATTCTTCCTACTAAAAAATTTGATATCTTATTTTTATCGAAAACATCCTTTGCTGATCACTTTTCAGCAGTTCACTCTCAGCTGCAAGAAAAGAATTGAACTTGAGTACTGCAAGTGAATACTGAAACTATTTTGAAAATAATCTAACTGACATAAGAAAGTTTGAGAAAGTGAACGAGAAATAACTTATTTTATTTATGGATGGAAGTTCAAAAAATTTAACTTCCAATTCTTTTAGTCACTCTCTGCAAGCACAACCTATGCATTTTGCTCAGTGCCAAAGTGACAAAAATGATAAAAACTCTTAAATAATAAAGTATGAAGACTAATTAAAAACAGACAGTACTTATGTCACAAAAAACAATTTCTCACATATTACTGCATATAAATTATAATAAGAAAAGTGGTTAAAAAAATATGCAAACAGTAGCAATAATTAATGTCAACTTACCAAATTCTCAGTACCAAATATAATTGCCGTTTTATAGTGTTTAAGATCAGCTTTGAAGATATCTTTGCGATAAAATTTTGCCATATTTGAAAGACATTCTTCACGAGCCTTCCATCGTGAATACAGAATTAATATTAAATTCAGTTCTAAGCCAACACTCAGATGACCTGCTTTAGCACATTGCAGAACCTGAAGAATTACGATGAATTACATGAGCAAATAATTATAACATAGACACATTTATTAATTTGCATGCATAAAATAAATCTTGATAGCATAATAAAAAGCTCATCTGACACTATTCAAAAATAACAACAATTTACATGCTGCTTCTATTTTTCAACTTTAATCAAGAAATTATCAAAAATAGTGCTGAGACAAAATGACAAAGTTTCAAGAGATACAAACAACTTGCTCATAAATGAAGAAGAGAAAGAAAGCTTGAAGCCATGAAACGGTGACATACAAGAACACTATGAGGCACTCTCTTCGCAACGTGAATCAAAACAGACTTTGAGATCATGGCACACGTGTGCACAACATATACAACATGCCCACTAGCTTTGAAGGAGAAATGACTAAGAAGGTGATATACTTCGCTTTCTAGAACAATTTATTAAAGTGATAAAAATAGCAAATCACTAACAATAAATATGATAATTACTATAACTCATTTAAAATTGAATCTTTCACATTATACCTACCTCTGATAAACTGATGAAAAACTATTTCTCTTCACTAGAATGCTTCACTCAATTAATCCTTTGCATTATTACTTTTAGCAGCCTTTTTAATTCATTCTTTTCTAAAATAATAAATTAAATGCTAAAAATAATTGTAGAGTATGTGTGTGGAATATCTTAGATCACTGTGCACTCTCACCCTAAAAATACAATTAGCGATATTATTTAGGTTACTAAAATAAACTTCTTTCAGCAATAAATAAAAGCCTTATTTTTTTTTGCCTTTTCGTCTAAAATTGCTTAAATTATTGAAATAGAGCAAAAAGAATCAGACTAGAAATTGATACAATTTACATGATGCAAGTTATCAAAAAGAATAATTATTACTCTTCAAGATGAAAAGATTAATAATATTTCTGAACTGGATGTCATAAATGAACAATTAAGGTTGAAAAATATTACTGAGATTGAGGAACTGAGCAATAAGGAATGTGTTCAGCACCACCATGCAATCATAATTTGTCAAATTATGGAAGAAAAATCAACTAACAAATGAGTGAATCTGGAATAAGAGATATAATACGCAAGAAACTGATTAACAACTGCCATTCATTATATTTACATACGTAAGAAGAGAAATTACGCAAATAGTCATTTCTTAAAATATTACAATAAATACAGTACGTTATTTGCATTTACACTGTCCTTCAAAAGCATAATATATGCGTGAGGTTCGTTAATTCTCCTCGCTCTACTTCTTATTTCTAAGACCAAAAAAACAAACCTTCAATTAAGCTCTTAGTCTGTGTATTGCAATTCAAATCTTCAAATATATTTGTGTTGACATCAAGCAACTACTCACTTTTCAATCAATCAGCACGTCAAGAATGATAACTAATTTCGTTCTTTTTAATTTATGAATTGCAGCTCAAGTGAGCACTTCACGCTCGCGCACTTTTAAAATTGGTCAAAATGTAAAATAAGAACCTAATGGTGAGATAACATAAAATATTATGCGACTAAAATATAATATCAATGTTTCGATTCAGCTATAGTGACGGAAGTAGCACTGGTATGCAGACCGATAGCAATACGAGCAAATCTTGGCCGACGTAAAATCTGCCTCCGACCTTTAGCTGCCTTCTTTTGCCTTTTAACCCGTATCCTCAAGTCTTGTCCACGATGACTGACACCATTTTCATCATCGATCTTCGAAAGCAGACATTCTAAGTCACCTTTCTTGATCGGCTTTACAGAAATATCGCGAACTGCTCGAAACTGACCACAATTGTTGACGTGCTCATTTTCTAGACGAAAGTAATTCCATACAAAACGTCGAAAGACTTCTAATGGTGCAGTAATACAGGTCAACAAATCAGACTCCAATGTCCACGCTTCACCAAGCGACACATTCAGAACCCAAGATAGACGCAATATGAAATCTTCTACAATAGCTCCATAATAATACCATTTACTGCCGTAAATCATTTCTTCACGCAAGAAAGGTGAATCTTTGGGTGCTAAGGGATCAATTAAACCCCAATCCATGAAAACATCCCAAAGAAATGTGTACGTAAAACTGACAATGTAAGATGCAACCCAGAAATAAAAGAATACACTAATTACAGAAGGATTATTCTTTTCAGCCCAATGATTAAGTGACTTGAAAAAAACAACGAGGTAGGTGGTGAAATATTTTCCAGCGTTGATAAGATGCGGATGCGCATGTCCCGTATCTCGAAAACGCCGCAGACACTGCATAAATCTAACCGTGGCTGGAAATATTGATACGAGCACACGAAATCCCGAAAAACTGGTGCACATGTCACGACCTGTGTTCACATCCACATAACCCCACGGAATGGGTTGATTGTCTGTGACATTGACCGTGCGAGCTGTGATACTCCATTCGGCGTAATCTACTTCCATAGTATAGAAACAAATAAAGTACTGAAAATCAAGAAAGCTTGTAATCAAAGAATTCATCTGATCTCCAAGCCAGAAATCAGCGAATGTAACGAAATGGAAGGGAGCACTGAAGCAGTTGAAGCAATGCTTGATGATCCAAAAACGACTGTTCCGCCTAAAGATGCTATCTGGTTTTTTGAACGGATTGAATAGATACACAACACAGATAATCATTAGAAGTAGAGGGAAAAGAAAAGGTGGAAGATGAATGAGATGCGCGTATAGATAACCCAACACTGAAAGCGACCAAAGCATGCACATAAATGAAGCGATTTGCATCACCGACTGATAAGTTAGATGGTTTCTAGGGTCAACTTCAAAAATAAGCACGTGATTCACGCCAGCTTCAGACCATCCCCACATATTCAAGCCACACAACCACACCGCTGCAAAGAGTAGCAGTGGGCCGCGAAACAGCCTAACAGCTACCCATTTGGGTTCCCGTGGTCGTGATGATGGCGCGAAACCTGAAATAATCACTGCAATACCAAGCACAACGAAAGCGCCGAGGAACACACCGAGTGTAAAAGTGGTAGTAGCATGTTGTTTCTCACTTAACGGTGGTACCTTTAACCGTTTCATACCCGCTTGTCGATTACCACCTTCCAGATCATTAATTACATCTCTCTCCACGTTACTGATTAGCGTTTCCACCTCATGATTCAAAAAAAACGACGATTTTTCTACTTTGCTAATCCTCCAATCCAACCCACGCTCATTTTCCAACAGCTTATCATGTTTTTTCAAGATTTTACGAAACCCAGTAGCATTGAGCTGTTGATAGTTTTGTAATAATACTAATGATAAATAAAACTCGGAAAATGCAAGTTTCAATTGCTGTGCAGTTTTTGAATGCTCTTTGAAGATGTACTGGAAAGAAAAGCTATGTCGCTTGAATCGCTGACGTAATGTTGTAGGACCCGCAAATGTTTGCGACTCTCGATTTTCCAAGACTTCTTTTAGAGAAGTTAATTCTGCATTCAATTCATGAAATTTTCCTTGAGCTTCAGCTATTTTCTGACTGTAAAATAGATTAATTTTTGTCAATTCTCTATCACATTCTGCGAAAAATTTTTCATCCATCTGAGTAATATACTGGCTACGTGCATCTAAATCTGTTGGCAATTCTGCAACTATTTCGTACAGCAATGATTTTAATCCTTCGTAACAAATGTATTGCTTTCGCCATTCTGGGGTCAAATGACTCGACAATTGCTCACCAAACTTCATCTCTGAAATATAATGCAAGAAATAATCCAAGAAACAACACTCTTTAATATTGCTACTTCCACTACCGATCAGCAATATGAATTGCAACAATTATTAACATATACTCACACATAAGAAGACATTAATAAACATCTTTACAACTACTTCTGCATTTTATAGATTACATCGTTGTTTCATTCTTTTCAACTCGTGGTTGAAAATTCACTATTAAGATTTTAAAAATTATAAATCACAAAACAAAACATCCAGTAATTTCAGATAAGTTTTATAAGCATTACTTATCATAAGAGTTTGTACAGAAAGCTCACACAAAAAATACATGACCCTAGCTTATCAATACACTAAAGCAACCACTTTCCAACTATTCATAGTGAATGACAATGATAACTTATCTATACGAGAACATGTAGTCTTCAACTATACACTCTTCTAAAGTAAAAAAATTCTCAGAACAGTAATTCCAGGAATGCAATACCTAACACAAAATATTTCTTTTATTTCCAACTCGCTATTTAAATTGCTTACTTTTAATTATTAACATGATATAGAACGTGGCCTTTCCGTGATATGCTTAAAAAGCACTGAAAGCAATTGCAATGAAAACATTGAAATAATGCAAACAAAGTGAATAAAACTCGCAATATGAATAACCAAACTGCGATCATTTTTGTTGCTGCATGTTAGTTTAGTTTATTACAACTTTATTGAGCTGATCATTTCTGAAGGAAAAAACTAAAAAATAGACGAAGAATGAGGACATTGATTATTCAACGTTCAAAATCATTCGAATGCATCATTTAATCTCGACTTTTTATACGGTCAATTTCAGTACTTCTATTTCTTGAAGCATTAGGATAAAAAAGCATCAAGCCAGGGGATTGTTTCCTTGGAAGTAGCAACAATTCATCACTATTAAATATTTCTTCAAAAATCACCTATTACATAGCTCGATATATCAGAATAACTCGTAAGTTAAGATTGTGAATAAAATATTGCATGTTCGCTGATTCATATTCCGTAATTCCAGTTAGTATAACTGCATCTGCTGATGCATTAGCTTCAAAAAAGATAATACAAATTTGAAAAATTTTCATCAGGGTAATCAATACAAAAGACAGTGTACACTCTGAATATGACAACTTTTTACAAGAAATTATGGGAAAAAAGAAATTGAAATAACCAAAAGATATCCCAGAAATATTATATAAATAAATGCATGCAGTATGAAAGCGTTAAAATACTAAATAAGTCGGGATGGTAACATAATTTCGTCCACTAATTAAAGCTGCACAAACCTAATCAAATACAACAGCTTGAAACAGCTATCATATGATTATTACTGAAAAAGTAAAGAGGATAGAGGACAAAAATATGACTGATAAACAATTGCAATGATAAAAACAATGGAAATGTATAATAATACTTTACAGCATAAAGAGCGAATAATCAGTAAGTTAGCTCTAGAATTAATTTATACAATGAAAAAGTTTGACATGCAGCACAATCCAATAATCATTTGTGTTATAATCAGCAATGAGAACTAACAATGCAGCATTTGTATTTAAATGTGCAGTGCATAACTTTCATTTAATAAATGATTAATACTTTTAACAAAGTATTAATCATTTATTAAATGCAAGTTATGCACTGCACATTTCCCATAGAATAAAATTGCTTCTGTCATTCTGTCATCAGTTATTTAAGTTAAGCCTTCACTCGTCTACTAAACTACAATACGAGTCCTTCATTTGAGATGTACTCTACATTCCAAAAAATTTCTCGAGACTTATCTTTTATATTAACCATTAAAAAATACCAAAACAAAAGACCTGACCTGAGCACTATTTTTATATCAAATCGTATCATATAACACTGTAATTCGAACGCTCAAACCGGAACGAAATCATCAGAATCATGTAACATTATAATCAGAATTTGTAACTGTTGATGATTCAATTACTTTGTTAAAATACTTTTAATTTAATTTAAAGTGTCTAATTGGCGTAACTGTAAATCAAAGTCTTATTACACAATGTTAAATTTAACCAAAACAGTGCAGTGTCCTTTTTTCCCACAACCTGCTCCACATTCACAAACCCAGAACATTATTACAAAAAATACAAATTAAATTCTGCAACTGGAAGCAAATCTTAAAAAACGCTCTCTTTTCAGTCCCATAACTAAACTTTCCTCTACTCTAAAATGAATTACTGCTAATGTTTGTGAAAAAAGTAGACGAAAAGCAACACAAAAAGTTAGTTCGTAAAAACCTAATTTCATCGCAGTTAGTTTCTCGCTTTTCTTGCTAAAACTCCTAAATTTTTCTAGCAAACAAGAATTATTCAATTTTTCTACATTTGTCTAGCAAACATAAATGGTTCAATTTTTGTATGTATAATTCAACACAAAAGGAAAGATGATACATTCGTGTGCGAAGGCGAAAATGAAGAAAAAAATCATCATACATAGATAGATGAATAAATAAATAAATAGACAGATAGATAGATAGACAGATAGATAGATAGATAGACAGATAGAT